CTCAAAGGTGCCGCCAAGATTGTTCAAGTACGTGGCCAGAAGTGCCTAGAGACGGATGAGGGTCGGGAAATGTTCGCCATGACACGCAACCAATGCATATCCGTCCAGAACCTATTCAAAGAGTCGGAAATGTCCGGCTACTCATGGCTACTGTACAATGAGGCGGTTCAGCGTTCGAATCGCGCCACCGTCGACATCAATCTCCTCTGCAACCAACTCCAGCAGGGCGTGGATCGCATCATTGCCCTGGCGAGAAACCCTACAGATGAGACTGTGGACAAGATGCTCGAGCTACTCGAAAAATGCAGGAAACTCGAAGACGAGTTCAGAAAGCTCAGCGAGAATCCGAATCCGCAGTGGAAAGTCGAGGTCGCCGAATGGGTCTTTGACCGAACCGACGAAGAACTCGACACCGAGCCCACGTTTGACGGCCAAGTGTACAAGTTTTTCAACTTACCCATGGCTGTGTTACATTTGGTCACATGGTGTTCTCACCTCAACCTCATTACGACGATGATCCGCGCCAGCTCATGGTTAGCATCGGCTGGTAGAGAAGGCTTGAGCGACTACGACGAGTACGGCGATCTGGTTCAGTCCGCGAGCGCCCGGGTAGCGAACATTGTTTCAGCAGTCCCGTATTTTTGCAGTTGGAACGGGTACGGCGTCATTGTTTCTCAGTTCCCCTGCGGCACGACAAAGCCAGACGATCCGCTCAAGGGGGAGGCCGGTCTCATTGTCATGTGGCCGCTCGCTATGGCCTTGAAGAGCGACTACGCCACGCCAAGACAGAGACGGTATTTGAGGGGCCGCCTCCGTTACATTGCAGACGTATCTGGTATCAGTCAGGCCAGGTTTTTAATGAACGAAATTTGATATGACGATGGCTGAAACGACATTTTGGGTGTAATTGTACGTGGTAAGATTCAGGCAGGGTTGGCAAGATGGCGTCGGCTACTTTGAGCATAATGGTTTGAGGCGCATATAAGGTTACATTGCGGGAGTTGGGATACCGAACCTGGGCGGCTCCAGTTATCAGACTGATTTTGAGGAGTGATACCATATTTAGTGACGATACGTGTAAAACCGAGACGAATAAAGTACAGAATTGTTTAGTGCGATTGAATGTCTATTCCAATAGCTTCATCCAGCACCCAGTAAGACGGCATTTGCGAGCCTTCGGCTTGCGTTGCAGCCTTAAGTGTCATTCTTCTAAGATCCCTCAGCAATCGGTCAGCCGACAAAATAAATGATACCAAATCATCGCCAGAGAACCTGTTTCTGAGAACATGAGAGATCACGATATTTCTCCAAGCGGCAATGTGCCGTGCCCTGTGCTGGTCTCTTGTTGGGGCTAGACCTCTTTTAGGGGTTTCATCCCATCGTCTCTGGTACCGCCTAGCGTTTCGAAGTGGGAGCCAAGTCCTGACGCTATTTAGACTTTGGAACCAACAAACAACTTGAAGTCTCCACACACTCGGCAGTATGAAGCGCGCACGGAGTAGAAACACGAACCAATGTCAACATCACCTCATAAATTGAATGACCAGCTGTATGCCCAGTCGAATACTCTCCCTCGGTTGTTTTTCATCAGATATATAAAGGAGCTACCCGCTTGTATCAAGGTCACAGTATGGTCCCTCAGAACGGGGGAAAATTGGTGTTTGTCCAGCCGCCTATTATTGTGGGTAGTCAACTCAGCAGTACGAATATCCTGTCAGGATTTCGATGATTGTATCAGCTTTCATTTAAGACTTGACAGAATGGGGTCAAGTCATAATCATAATGAGTACTGCGTCATGTTCTGAGAAACCACTGAGTTCGTCACAAGCATTCTGGCTCAGTCTTACAACGGACCGTCGGTGGGTTAGATCGGCCGTACATACATGGGATGATGGAAGATCCTATGAGCGTTGGCTATTCCCGCTGTGCTCCTTCGTTCGCGCCCTCAAGCGGATGCAGGGACTAGCATGTGTGCAACAAAGCGGTTCCCGCCGAAGTAGATCACCGGGCGGGTAGCAGCTTGTTCCCCAATGCAACCGCGGTCTGAATTATGCTAGTCATGGCTTGCGTACTCGACGACGGTCTATCCCATCGAATCGAGTACGAGTTGACGTCAAGAAAGGTCCCTCCAGGTTTTCTCCAACTTGACGGTTTTGAAAAGCATTCTATACATGCATGCAAAAATATTAGAAATAAGGTCAGAGTATGATACGTCACGCTATTATGCCTCACTTGAGAACGTCTTCGTATACTGACGATAACACGCACATAACGGAACAGGCAGTCCCTAAGAATTAATCATCATCCGGCCTAGTCAAAGCATTTCAGAGTCTTCCAGTGAAGTCAAGCAATTCGCGACAGAGTTTGATGGCATTTATCTTCTTATCCCCAAACAACTTGATGCCCAATCTATATATTACCGCTAATAAAATCAACAGAAGCTAACAGTCTAATAAGTCCCATGCCCATACTTCTGCCGCCAGTCCAAGTTCTCCCGGAAAGTCTTCCAATCCACCGGCTCCGTTGTTCCAATCACCTGTGCCTTCACCGATCCACCATCCTTGTCATACCAGACTCCATTAAAACAACGAGTCTCATGCAGCGTAACATGAGAATCAAAAACATCCCGAGAACAATCACACGTGATAATCTCCCGCTTCACACTAGAAGCCCTATTCAGCGGAAACAACATCTTCAAAACATCGGGCAAGATACCCGGATCACCCCGCTTCATGACCATGTCGATCGGGATATCCTCGCCAAACAGCAAAAACACCCGAAAGGAGGTGCGCACGCCGTCAGCATGCTCCTTCCTGACGCCAATGCTGGCCATCTTCCTGTAGAGTTTCGTGGGCAGTGTGCCGTGGTGCGGGTCGAACCAGTTCGTGATGATGTTGTTAAACTCGTCCGCTTTGACGCAGAAGTCAAAGGTGCATTCGATCATGACGAGTCGGCGGCAGTGCGAGGGCTCGACCTTGTTGGATTCGCAAAAGTGGCGCTGGTATTTGCCGTTGATGGCTCTTTCCATCTTGATCTTCACGCCGCTAAGGACCTTGCCGATGATGGATATCTTCCTTTCGGCGGGCATCTTGTCTGGTTGGTTCTCAGGTACTGGGGTGAGGTGTCTTGAGAGTGAAGGGGATGGATTGTTCTGTAAACGAAGCTGGATTGATTTGAGGTGGCAAATTGGTTCTTGGGTCTGTTTGTATGTATGTTGATGAAGTTTGAGACAGGAGATGAGGTTCATCTTGTGTCTTCATATACAGCTGCAACATCATGAGGCTGCTCGTTCTAAATATGACAATGAAGAGAAAGATCTCTTAGTTGCACAATGATATTGAGCCGATGTCAAAGGAGAGCATCAACCAATTCTTCACAAGTCTGCGTAAACACAATACGAAGAATAGTCCTGGGCTTTGTCAACCTACGATAATGCCCACAAAGTCTTTGAGGTCTTTGAGTTACAGAAGATAATGCCATTGCACTCCACTCAGCTATGTGTTCCTGTTCGAGGCAAGTTGAGGAAGGCGTTTTCATTGACAGCACAGCGTGGATATACACTCAGCAAAGCCAAGGCGTGAAAGAATGTGAATGAACGAAATAATGCTGTTCAAGGTGCAGACTGAACACAATTCTTTTTCTGAAATAGACAATCTGCATGCATTTCAGAGTAAATTTCAAGTGACAGGACTTAGGTAGTCAACACTGCACTTAAAGCGACTTCAACAACCAACTTAACACACCATACAATCAAATTTCAGAATATCGCTCACAATCAACTCAACTTAAACCTCACAGTTGATTGATTGCGTTGCATGTGAGTAAAGCATCGCAGCTAATGTAGCGAGCTCAAGCTTGATACGTGTCGAACCACGTCTGGAGTTGATTTCCCTACCCAGAGTCTCTTCTTCATTCCGGCGAAGCTCATGTGCTGCCACACGAGGTTAATCAAAGAGAGGAGATATTGACAACAAGAAGTTGGATATTTTATGTTGGATATTTTATGTTGGATATCTTTCAACCATGTAAATTCAAAAGGTGTAGAGTCTGATAGTCCTTCACACCTGGTGTCGGGATGTGGCGAACAAATAGGAATGCTTCCGATAGGATCGCCTCCTCACAATAGTCTAAAGATTTCATGCGTGAACCATACAAGATTCGTATCTTGCTTCGCCTGAAGCTTGGCCACTCATCGCATCTGTTGCAGTGCGAACCCGAACCAGGTACAGAACCGTGCAGACTTGGCAGGTAAGCTTCCGGACCCGAGGAAGCTTCCGATTTTCCATCTCACCTTACCTACCTTAGATAGGAAAGTAGAGTAACGTTCGACTTGAACTAAGTTGGCTGCACTCATACTTTGTGTGTGATTTCGAAAAAAAAAAGAGAGGGGGGGAAAGCGCAAGGCTTACGATGATCTAAATGACACTTGCCAAGTCAGTAAGGCTGACGTGTTTGTGCAGCCCGCCGGCTCACGCTGCAGGGCTACTACTGTCTTGGATGTACGCGCCAACGCGGCGGTTCGCATGTAACGACTAGTAAGGTCAGGTTTGATCGCCCGTTTGTGGGGTAATTGAAGCTGCAAGACGGGAAACATGCTCCCGCCTACGCGCCTGGCCGCATTGCCAACTCATCCCACATATCTGCCATGACATGTAATCCCACGACAGGCGCGCCTTAGCTGAAGAGTGGCGATGCCGCTTATTCTCGACAGTCTTTAATACCATACCACGAACCCACTTGTGTGATTCTTTTCTTTCATGCGACGGGGCCTTCATACTGTCCGAAATTCCGTCTGAGCTGTTGGAGAACTGTGACGCATCAACCCGACGTGTTCGTTGCGTGTCATGCTCGAGGTCTGAGCACCGAGCCAGCGGGAACGCCTCAGTTACCAACCACCGCCACACCCAACCTAGATAATCGATTGGCAGCCTCTTTCAAGTTGACCTGGTTGATTTTGATGCCAGTCGTGTAGGTAGGAGCTCCTTAGTTGACAAGCGATCATGAGAAGCCTTTCAACCTTCCTCTCGCTGCTGCGCCTGGCAGAATGGGTAACGCCAGCCCAAAGCGAGGCAACACCATCAAGCAACACGGCCGCGAAGCCGTGCTCCCCCGACACCTTTGTATTCCCCACGGAGCTCGAGCGCGCAAACCTCGTGGGCATAACAGCGGCCGAGGTCAGAGACCTGACGTTCAACCCATTGACACCAGAGGGTCGCGCAGCCATCCCGCCGACGGGTGTCAGCTTCTGCAACGTGACGGTCAAGTACGTCCACACGGGCTTCGAAGACGTCACGCAGGTGCAGATATGGCTTCCATCTGCCGAGGCGTGGAACGGACGGTTCGTGGGCGTCGGAGGAGGAGGGTACTCGGCCGGGCAGTTTGGGAGCGAAAAGGTCGTTGCGACGCTGGCGCAGGGATATGCGAGTATGTTTTCAGTCATTGATTCCTCTCTGCTCGCGGGTGCTCTTGCTGGAATTTCAGACGGGTGAGCGCAGACTAACGGGGCGATAGCAAGCTCAACGGACGCCGGGCACGATCATACGACGTGGGAAGAGGCGCCTTGGGCGTTGAAGAAAGATGGCACGGTCAATGAGCGATTACTCGTGAACTACGCCCACGTCTCGGTGCACGACATGACCATCATCGCCAAGTCGATTGTAACGCAATACTACTCTCGGACGCCAGAGTACTCGTACTGGAGCGGTTGCTCGACGGGTGGCCGGCAGGGCGTCATCGAAGCGCAGCGATATCCGGGAGACTACGACGGCATCCTCTCCGGTGCACCGGCCGTGAACCAGCCAAGTCTCATCATCAGCACGTACTGGCCTCAGTTCGTGATGAACCAAAAGGGGGTGTACCCGCATATCTGCGAACTGATTCTCATGACGCAGTTCGCGATCGACGCATGCGACGAGCTTGACGGCGTAAAGGACAACATCATTGCGGACCCAGATAAGTGTGCATTCGATCCGGCAAGCGTTGTCGGCAAGGAGCTCGATTGTGGGAACATGAAGATGGTCATGTCGGCCGCAGCAGCTGATGTCGCGCGGGAGATCTGGCGGGGCCCACACGGCGCGGACGGGAAACCGCTCTGGCTGCCAAAGGGGTATCCAGTCGGCGCACCCTTCACAGGCCGCTTCGGGCTCGGTAACACAAACTGCAGTGTACCGGACGCGCCGTGCGTCGGTCGGCCATTCCAGATGTCGGTGGCATGGATCCGCAACCTCGTGCACAAGGACCCGAGCTACGACGTTAACGGCATGACGTTTGCCGATCTTGAGGCGGCATATGAGACTAGCAGGCGGGAGTTTGACAGCATTATCGGGGCAAACAATCCAGACTTGTCCGAGTTCAAGAGACTTGGGCGTAAGATGATTAGCTGGCACGGGCTGGCCGACGAGTGTGTAACGATGCGCACGTCGAGGGACTATTACGACCGGGTGCTGGCGGTGGACGCTGCCGCGGATGGGTATTATCGCCACTTTGAAGCGCCGGGAGTGTACCACTGCTATGGGCTGAATGGAACGTTTTACCCGCTGAAGGGGTTGGAGACGCTGCGAGCTTGGGTCGAGGAGGGGAAGACGCCGGCTGTGATGGACGGGTTTAAGCTAAGCGGAGGCAACGATAGCGCGGCGCCGACGAGACCGTTGTGCGCATATCCCGCGACTGTCAAGTTTGTCGGTGGCGATGCGGATAAGAAGGACTCGTGGATCTGCGAGAAGCGATCAGCAAGTTGCCCGAAGCCAGAGTGGAACAGGGACGAGTTGTAGTGTTGGAGTCATGTAGTGGAGGATTGTGTTCCATGTCCGGCGTAGTAATTTGAATAGCGTCCTATCGGTAGAGAAAAATAATATCATGATTTCGTGGAATGGAAAGCCGTGGATGCATGATAGAACTGTGGTCTTGTTGCCTTCCGGAGGGTTCTCCCGGAGTGTGGTCCGCCAATGGCAAATCGGCACCTTGGAGGTACTGTGTGCCCAGTATACTTCCGGAGGAAAAGGCCCGCTGAGAAAGACGCTTATCTCAGCTTAGAATGCTTACTTAAGAATCTCTCGAAAAACCCCGACACCCGCAGAAAAACGTGACTCCACCACGGCGAACCGAGGTGGTCCCACTGGGCCATCGGCGTCCCCAAACCCGAATTTCCCAGTTTTTCAGGGTCCAATCCCCCGCCAGTGGTCCCCCCATGGCGCCCCCCTCTCCCGTGCTACTGGCCCACCCCCTTGGCCCCTCTCTGCTGACTTTAGCATCTTTTGCCGCCTCTGCTTTTTCCCCTTGTTAGCAAATTCCCATGCGCAAGCCGCAAAAGGCCGCAAAAAACATTCGCCACCTCTCACAAAGGGCCCGACGCCAACTTTCCCTCTTAAAACCACCCTCCTTTCGATCGTTCTCGATCCCCATTCCTCGCTCCATGTCCGAAGATCGAGCCTCAACACCACCGATCTATCAGCCCTCCTCGACATCCTGGACAAACCACCACACACAACCAACACTCGTACCATTTGCCCTGCACGGCCGGCCAGCAGTGCCAGCCTGTGCTTCTGTCGCTGTCGCTGCGACCTGACCAGCCCGCCGTGGTCCCCGACGCTGCCGCAGCCGCTACTGCTGCCTGTCGCACCGCACCGTCCAGCTCCATGACCTTTGCGTCTGCGGACCTGCTCCGATCGCTCCGGGTCTAGACCCCCGGCCTTGTTCAATTCGTTCGGCCTCGACTCCAGGCCTTATCTATTATTTCGTCTCGTCTCTGGGGATTACGGCCCCTCTCTGCCGGGTGCGTTCTCTCCGTGCTTGGCCGGCCCTTGGGCCACCGCTCCGATTGATGCCTTCCGGCCCCTCCAACCCACGATCCGCTTCCACCCCGAAATCAGGGTCGTCGCCCGCTGGCGCCCATGGCCCGACTGCTATCAGTACCGGCAGTGATGGCCAAGACGAACCCGGGTCTCCCAATAGGGTCTCTTGGAATCATCTTCGTCAGGGCGAGAGTCATCAGCGCGTAAGTCTATTTTACCTTCCATTCTGCCCTCCTTCCCCTTCCACATCCGTCCCTTATCGGGTGACCTTATCGGGCCCACCCGTCGTCTCTATTGGAACATACCTAACTTCATTATCTCGTGGGCAACTTCACCCTCGTCATGTCAATGCAGTAATTCCTCTCTCTGACCTCTCGATTCCTTAGATCCGTCATGGTGCCCAGCAATTACTTCGCCTAACCGGCAGATTCCCCGCCCACAATGCTGCCAGCCCTGAAGGAGGCTATAATGCCTCCAACGATCACGCCTTACCCACCGAGCACGACTTGCGTGCCATGTCAAGATTATCCCACAGCATCGCCCGCGACATACACGAGATCAGGACCCTGCAAAGGGAAGATCCCAACGCCCACAAGCGCAGGTCGGGGGCCGAGGGTAGTAGTGAACAGCAACAGCTCGCCGCGGCCAGGAGCCACGCCGGGAACAGCGGCAGTCCCCCAGGACGCAGGCATCGCCGCAAGACGATTGATTTCTCGTGTCACAAATGTCACCGCGTCGATACCCCGGAATGGCGGCCTGGTCCCGACGGTCCCAGTACGCTGTGTAATGTCTGCGGACTGATTTACGCCAAACGCGAGCGCAAGAAAGAGGAATCGACGATGCCCACCTTTGGATCTCGCTAACTTTCTCATAAATCTTTTCCTTATAATTTCTCTTCTTATTCTTCTTCTTTTCTTTATCTCTTTCCTCACCATTTACACTAAGCTACGTCGACGGATATATGGGGCAGAAAGAGCAATCTATGATCGGTTCTGAAAAATGGAATGACGAGACGGCTGCAAGGCGTTGGAAGCTGCTTTTAGGCATTGATACCCAACATGATGAGATGGATATGGACTACTTTTCTTTTGATTTTTTTTTTTTTTTTCTCTATCCTATTGGGAGACCTTACTTCGGCTGGTGTTTGGCGCAACGGACAGGTGGATTATGAGATATACCCGACCAAAGAATCAAATCAAATTTGCCTTCTATCACTACTACTACCTATTATGCCACACCGCGACGCATCGCAACGTTACTCTAAAGTGTGGGTAAAGTGGCTGAAAAGTAGCAGACGATCTCCATGTCTCGTTGAGGCTCAGGCGGTATCGTTTCTTCTCAACAGATCTTGCCCCCGTTGACAGCTAGGCGGAAGCAAGGGCTGACCCGTGTCTGACCATCGACATCGAGTGTCTGACTTTAGCTCATCCGCATTCGACACACAGCGACGCAGCTGGTGGATGCTATTTTGACAGACAAAGGCAGAAATGCCCCTCCCGCCCGAAGCTAGCTCCCTCCCCCGCTCCTCTCGTCCTGTACCTCAATCTGCCTAGTCTGCGGCAGGTCGCGGATGAGCCGGGGTGAAGCTGTGCAAGCACAAGGCAGCTGTGCGGCGGCGGCGGCGACGACTGCTCAGCTCCACAGCTAACAGCATAATGTCTCCGGTGAGCCGCGCCGAGGGGGAGGGATGCGGGGAAGGTGAATGAACCCACACGGCAGATCACTCACGAGGTCACTCTTCCAAAAACCATCGCAAAACACAACGCTTTCACGTCAGCCCACCGGCCAGGTTTCCCCCAACTTTCCCTGTTTCCCCAAAGAACCACCATCGACATGACTGGTCGAATAGGCTCCGTAACCGATGTTGCATGCAGCTATGCCAGGCAACATTTTCGGAGGGGGAAAGCTCGTATTCACCATGCTTAAAATGTTGTCTTGAACCTCCTGACCATCATCCCCCAAAGTTCCCGATTGAGGGGCGGAGTGACCTCAGTCAACCTACTTTGCCGAGATACAAGTTCGTGTTCGTCTGTTGACATCGTGGCATTGTCACATCGGTTCGTGTAGTCTGGGGCTTGTCTTGGAGGTTAAGTCTATTTTACGTAGGGTAGGATGATCTTTAGTCAGAAGTTCCTTCATGACAGAGGCGGCAGGGCAGAGTTTCTCAGAGGTTAGAGGTCTCATGAGCGCTCATTTAGGAAATATCGTGACATTCTCAATCTGATCGACGCTCGTATCTAGAATCTTGGTCTCTGTGCCGTCGCCCGGCAGCTGAGACCCTTGAGACTTTCATGACAACATAGCATGACTTCACTTGGAACTTCTGCGAAAAGGCGGTCACCGACTGGATATATATATCACAGATAGACTCTCGCATCAAACCTCTTGAACAGCATCAGCCTCAACTTCATTGCGATAACATAACCACAATTCATTAAAACCACGAAGGTCTCAAGCCAGAGACAATCCTCAGCCTTCCAGAATCTACCAAATTTCCACTCAAGCACACAATTCCCCAGCCTCCAACATGCATCTCACCTCCCTCCTCATCCCCCTCCTCGCCGCCGCAACCCAGACCGCAGCCCTCGGCAAAGCAACAGTCGTAAACAACTGCGCAACCGAAGTCTCCCTCTGGTCCGTCGGCGGCGACGTCCGCGCCGCCGGACCCCTGGCCGCAAAGGGCGGCTCCTACAGCGAGACCTTCACCCGGGACCCGACCACCGGCGGCCGGGCCCTCAAAGTCACCCGCGCGCGCGACGGCCTGTACACCGGCGCGCCGCAGCTCGTGTACGCGTATAACCTGGACGGCGCGGGAGTATGGTACGATTTGAGCACCGTGTTCGGGGACGGGTTCAAGGGGAGCAAGATTGTTGTGGCGAGTCGGCTTGCGAGTTGTCCTGCTATTGTGTGGGAGGGCGGTGTTAGTCCCGGGGGTAGTCAGGTTAAGGTTTGTACGGCGGATCAGGATGTTGTTTTGACGCTTTGTGCTTAGGGGGTTTGGTTGAGATGGCGGAGGTAGGGTGAGGAGGGGGAGGTTGCATGTGGTGTTGATGAAGAGGCTGAACTTGAGGACGACGAGAGTGTGATTACATGCCTGCATAGTTTCAATGTTTAATGTTTTACCAACATCCTTTCTAATCATATTTTGCCAAGATTTGGATACATGTGGCTACGGCTTATACGGCATCGACTATCTTCAAGCTCAACCTTCAAGCCAGGTGGTAACGTTCAAATACACTCATTGGTCACGCTAGCGGGAAACACTTGTGTCATTGTGACTGATATGTAGCAAGGTATGTACTATCTATTTATGAATTGAACCTATGATACCATGAGCAACACATACTGCCCGTCTACCTGTGTTACATTGGGAATGGTAACCGAGTTGTCTGGCAAGATTCCAATGATCTCCCCGGCCATAAGTTGAAACGGTACTTCGGCAGTAGTCCCAAGTGCTTTCTTTGCCACCCTGACAGGGGCAGGCTGAACAAATCCCCGAACGGCGGAAAGCATTGAAGGATTAACTAGATACCAGACTGTCAGTTCACGGGTTACATCATGTATTGCTGATGGCGTTATTTGCAAGAGCACTTACACGGAAACTTCATATCTGCGAGCATAGGAGCGCCAGGTGAACTCGAGTTGACAACCCACGCGAAACTGTTAACCGGCACCAACCCGGGCGGAACAGCCTGCGGCGAAATCCCATTCACGATATCAATGTTGATGCCCATGTCGGTACTCGGCACAACGCTCAGCCTCAAGCCGTCGATAAACTCGGCTTCCTGTCGATTCCCCGCCGTGACGTTGACCGTTCTCGTAGCTCCCTGACCATACTGCACGAACTCGTTGGCCGTATCCACCGTCTGGCGCCCAAGCAGGATATACTCGCCCTGAAGCGACGTCATCTTGATGATCCGAGTATTGTTCTCCTCTCTATGCACGTTGCGCGTCGCATCGTTGACGATCCAGCTTCGTTTGTCACCGGCCAGCGTACCGACGTAGGTGTTGCTCTCTTGTATGCCGATCGCGGCGAGAGCAGCCGGGTCGTAGGGGATCTCGATCTTGGCGATGAGGTCGTTTGCCGACTCGTTGAGGCTGATGACGTACGAGTAGTTCTGGAGGGCCATGAAGGGACCGCCAGTGGTGCCCGTCACGAAGTTGCCCGGCAGCGGGGTGAGGTTCTGTTGGACGACCAGCGTGCGATTTTTGGGTGAGAAGAGGTCTAGAGCTAAGCCGTCCTGGAAATCCTGGTCGGTTCTTTCCATCTGATGGACGTTGTCTTTAGCAAATGGAAGTCGAATTTTGGGATGATGGAAAGGGCACTTACACTGCCGAGGACGTTGATAGGGTCGCCAAACTTTGCCTTGTCTGCTGCGTCCTGGCCGAGGACCAGGATCGCAGCGATGGCGAGCCACGGCCCGAAGAGCCTCGCGTGGAAGGGAACCCGACACATTGACTTGCTGGAAGATTGATATCGAAAGACGGATCAACTGTAATATCAAGAGACTGATTGGTACAAAGAATTAAGATTTGATGGCCGGCCGAACATGATATTATACCTCCTCAACCAATGGTCGAAAGAAGACTCATGAACAAATCATTTCATCCCCTGTTCAGGGGTCAGTCACCCGAAACCACAGCCGAACCCGTGAGCTAGACTGAAAATGCAAGTTCATGAAGCTTTACTCGCGTCCATGATCTCGTGAATACCAATAATTCGAGGCAACCTTTCGGCCGAGCTGCCGAGGCCACCTCGATTTCCGAGCAGGAGAACCGAGACCGACGCTGTGGTCACACTTTAATGTAAGGGGACCAGGCCTTTGGTAGGCACTCTAAGTCTCTATGAGTCCGGGTCCCGCCTCCGCAGGGCGCTTTGCGGGGGACTTTTAAAACAAGCTTTAGGATCTACTGGGCCTGGTCTAGAACAGAGTTTAGCGTCAAACCAATGATACAGTCGAGTATTAATAAGTTCAGATGAAGTCCAAACCCAACGTCAGCTCTGCACGTTTGACTCTTCTTTTCAGACGTAGGGGTTCATCCGTCTTTACCGATGAGTATTCATTTTAGGTCGCTCGCTACTGTTTATTGTGGCTGTCCTTTCATGCTCACTTTCAAATATGCAGTGTAGCGGCACAGCCACTTTGCCCATTGGAACTGGGAAGTCTTGCAGTCATTCCCGGCTTCGTTGGCATATAGGGCGTCCTAGGCGTTTCATGTTGTGATCCGACAAGCCCCAATAATACCATCCCACTGGCAGGGTCGGCCTATCCGAATGTGACTTCTACAGCGCAGGATCTAGACTAACGTTCGCAAAGTCTACCTTGGGCAATCTTCAACAGGACTGAAGCCAGTAGCAGGGCGACATTCTCTCCTCCTGCATTACGTTCTCCCCAGCAAGAAATGCTCGGTGGGAGAAATGCACATGTCTCTCGTCCAAATTTCCCCGGACCCTGTCATTAAGCGTCAACTTACCAATGGTGCGGTAGCGAATCGTGTACTAGTTGGGTATTGATGGACTTTACTGTGATGAGTTCTGAATAAGCATACCTCGGTCAGGATGATATTGGACGAGGTAGCTTGGATGAAAAGATCGAGCTTGTCTCTGTCTAGTCTTGAGCCTTATTCACCTCGCACGAGTTAGTCCATTGTCACTCCACAGTCTGCCGATGGCTCGGTCTTTCCCTCGTGGAATATGGCTTGATAGAGCAGACTAAGGACACGATTGACTCTCATACTTAGGTACGTTACGGAAGCACCCCCATCCGTCCGCACAGCACCCGACGCCCCTATAGGCGACCCCTCTATGCCAAATCGGATTTCAAAGATGATACCCTGATGGAAACAACTTGATCAAGGGAGTAGCAGTGGATCACACAGATAGACATACGTGAGCCGGAAGTGTCGCGTAAAATGACCATATTGAGCGTTGAAAATCAGCCTTGCGTCCTACTTTCAGGTCTGTGCTTGCCAGATTAAGAAGCAAATCCGGCGGTTCAACGTATTGGAAACCAGTAGGCGACAGATTTGGCGCACCTCAAAGCCCAAAAGCAAGATGAGGTTTGAAGGAGCTGATAGCGCTGACTACTTTAAGCAGTGTCGATGTTTCTATTCCATCGATTAACACCAAACGCTCAGGGCCCTCAGCGTACATCTTGATGGCGCCTGTTGACTACTGAAGCTATTGCATGTGGTAGAAGTCGGTAGTTGTGTAAGTGTTTATTTCTATTGGAGCTCGCATCACATCAAGCACCTACGCAAGATTTTGAGTGAATACGGTGAACGTTGATTAAATCCATTTCCCTGACAGCGGCATCCGCCTGATGTGGTAGAGAAGATCCAAAGTTAGCCCAGCGTCGCAATGGTGATGTTTTCCACACAAGCCTCTGCCTAGCCCACGTTGCTGTCCGGTCAGAGTGACGCACTACAATATGGGAGCCTGGAGCGCATGTGAGGTTGAGGCGCCGAATGCGTACTGTCTGCAATCAACACACAAGTCGCATATCTTAGACGAAGGGCAAGTCATTTATAAATTGCTATCTCAGAGCACAACTTGGATCTAAACTCTCAGTGCCCCCAAGACGAGACAACTAAATCATGTCACTCCTACACTGGATAAAATCCCGACATGTCTTACCTCTCCGCGAGAGAGCCATCCAAAAACGGCAGGATTTTGAGACTGAAGCTGCCAACTCTTTATACGAGTTCCACGATGCTTTTCGCAATCGCCTCATTCTCGACCCGCCGAATCATAGCGACGCAACTTGCGACAGGTACGAGAAGCTATGCAATGATCTAGATGATTATGAGTTGATCTCGGCCTCCGTTACTGGTGTCTAGACTGTGGAAGAACGCAGGCAGACCTTTGTTCGACTTGCGTAGTCGTTCCCGGTCAGGGCATTGATCACGACCCAGGCCATTGATTAGTGCAAGCGCAGCCTACTGTTCGCCCCGTCTGCGAAGATATCGAGCGACTCGAGGTCAAGTCGGCCGACATGCACCGTTGGCCTTACGAGGAATTCTCAGTAAAGGGCGGTACACTCAAGGAAGTCGCTGAGAGTAGAAGCTGTGTGTTCTGTACTTTTGTGTGGAGACTGTTTGCTCAGTCTCCTCCAGAAGGCCTCAAGTGGCCCCCTGATGATGATGAGAAAGTTACAATCAGGGTCAGGAAACAGTGGCGGGATTGTTTGAGGATCTCTATTGTTTCTGATCTTGCAACTGAAGAAGAATTTGAAATGCGCTGGGAAAAGCAATATGCCAGGAGGGGGCGAAATGCTGCGGATATGGAAAAGGAGATGCTCGTGGGCCCTTTCATCTGTAACAAGTATATCTTGCGCAAAGAGTTTCTTCATCAAGAGTCTTTATCAGGCTTAGAGTGCTAACCCCTTCCCCACAACTTCGTCTCACGAGATGCCCGTCAACAAAGTCTTTCCAGCAGAAGAAGAAAGAAGAATTTGGCAGGTTGGAATCTGCAAAATGCTACCTAGCTCGCCAAATCATGGCTCTATAACTGCTGCAAAAGACATTCCAAGTGTGCAGGAACCTCACCGCATATCCTACCGTCTCGTGTCTTGGTGTTGCAAGGCCAGGATCTCTCACGCGTTTATCTAAAGAGTCAAAGGGGATTGAAGGTAGTTACGCTACGTTGAGCCACTGTTGGAGCCCAAGCCGACCGGGCCTCATCACTACCAAAGATAGCTACTAGGCTCATCAGAACTTTGGTATCTCAATCAGCGAACCTCCAGAGACGACAGGAGATATAGTTCATGCAGCAAAGACATTGGGACTGGACTATCTCTGAGTCGGTCGGCTTTGTATCATTGAAAATTTCGCAGAAGATTGAGCTCACGAAGCGGCTCTCATGTATGCGATGTACTCTGGCGCAACACTCATACTTAGCGGCCGATGGGAGCAACTCAGCTACCGAGGGTTTCTTTCAGTTGAACCAAACTCTCTTTACGCCGGACCACAAGACATACTACGACCCTGGAGGTGACGATCTGGTCTACATCAAACGCCGACGAGTCGACGGGCCAGGTCTCGTCCGGCTTCGTCACGCTCGACGGACACCTTGTTCGCGGCCTACGGCTAAGCATCATGCAGGGCATCTACGAGGGCGGCGACGTCAAGGAAATGTGTTTCCTGAGACTTGCTAAGACGTATGATATCTTTCTCGAGTTCGCGCCCGATGACCTGCCTAGTTTGCTACAGAGATGGGGATCTGATCCTACCGAGGTCTTGGTGTTGCTTTTGGGGACGGGGGATTTTGTTCCGGAGAAAGGGGGCTTATGGGACGGTTGATGGCTTGAGCAATCTGGTGAAGATGTCGTGGAAGATTTCGGGCGAGAGGGGAATTGCTGAGGTGAGTGAGGAAGATACAGGTGTTGCGGCCAGCTCGCCGGCATGCGATCTACAGAGCGAGTTGGTTGAAGCCTTTGTGGAAGACACGGAATACCCTCGCTTCACGACATTCTCGATCCTGAAGGAGTCGAAGAAGGAGAAGTGCAAGTACAAGAGGCTGGGTCGTTTTGATGTCTGGGGTAGGAATGATATCGGTGTAGCTTAAGCGCTGTTCAGCAGCTTGGCCAGGGAGAGAATCACGATCATCTAAGGCAACGTTCCAATGGTAGTTCCGATGGTAGATTCATTGTCAGAGGAATCTCAAGAGGATGGACACGATTTTCGCCCAGGCTACCACGATTTTCGGTTCAATCAATAAGTTGATTCCTTTTGAATGCTTCCACTCGACGGGATCAAGGACTCGTTAGGGCGATTGTGGTTGCAGCATCTACAATCGGAGGGCAACGACGCAAACTCGGTTATATTTGATCTATAGAAGCCAATCTCCTTCTAAAATCTCGTGCCACCATCATCATCCACGAGACATGATACGACATAGTCTGTAACACCCTCGTTCTCGTTCCCGCAGTCGTAAGTAAGGTCAGCAGTAATCTCCGGCCCCGCGTAACTGGGCGGAGGCTGTGTTAGCCGACCGTTTCGATCGGACAGACGGGGGATCGAACAAGGCCCCTTGACTCCGATGCCGGACTCTAGGAAGATCAATCCCACCGGGAATAGGCGTCACCGAGAACGCCGACTTTTTTTTACAACTGGCGATGCAATAAATGATGACTCCAAGTCCGAACCTAGTACAATTTCAAAAGCTCATGTAAGCTGCGATGTATTCATGCAGGCTAGCATTATGACACTGCCAGCGAGAGTGCCTATCAGGCCCTCAACGCAGAGTCTGCCTGATCGACGAATCTCAATGCAATTAACATGTTCCTATTTCGGCGAGCGTCGGCCCGTTTTATGGAAGTGATGCTAAGATCACCCTCTTCACCAGGGGCTATTCCACCCTGATTAAAGTTAGGAAGGTTGGATATCGGGCCGCCAAGTAGGCCTAGAGCGACCAATTACATTGCACGGTATGAGGCTTGGGATCAAACAACAAGTGTCTATCAGATCAACATATTTTCCGCGATACGCCGATGGAAAATTCTCAGAAAAGGCGGTGCATTTCATAAATCGGCCTGCAGAAAACAGCTCAGTTTGTTCAATTTTAGTGTGGCAGCTATCAGTGCAAGTTTGGCTCCCAACCACTCGAAGCACTGCAAGTCGGTGAACTGCGCCTCGTCAAGATAAGACTTGGCGCATCCGACCAACCTCTGGAGAGTCGAGACACACACCACATCCCAGCCAGAATTTTACCACGAAACGGTGAGATCTAATTGCTCTTTACAAAGACAAGAGTTATAAAACTACGTCACACCGCATAATTACCGGTGGCAGTGCATATTTTTGCGCTGGGCAGTGCAAAAAGTAAACAGCGGGGCTTGGCAAACCCGAAAGTACCTCGCACAGAGTCGTAAGTACCATTTGATTGAACGAGCAATCAGTCGAACGAATGAAGGAAACATCCAAATTCCCTACCAAATGTTTGCAAAAGAGGCCGCCTCGAAGCTACCCAGTCCATCCGCCTCCAGCTCGTTGCGTCTCCTTGCGCCATCTCATCTTGCCACTGACTTGTCTTCCACAGTATCCACGTACTCTAACCGAATCTCCTTCTCCTCCGAACCAGTCGCGTACACAGCGGCGGGCGAAGTATTCGCCAAGACATCCTTGACGCTCTTGCGTTCTCGCAAAGCGGTCCAGACCGTGGTGTGCATGCTCCTCATGAAGAGTAGATCCATATCTTCCAGCGTAAGACCTAACACGGGGCGCCTGCGTCAGCCACAAGGACAACGACGACGGAGAAAGTGGCTGAGAATGATACACTCTGACGGCAGTAGAGACCAGTGAGAGTGGGTAACAAAACTTACCTTTGGTTTCCGGTACGAAGAAGAAAGCCCACACGCCCATCAGGATCATGAGAGCGCCGAAGAACATGTAAGTTCCGTAGCCGAGCGACGTAATCATGTAAGGCGTGGTCCGTGAGACAATGAAGCTCCACAGCCATTGATCTGCTGTTGTGATTGCGACGCAGAGCATGCGGATGTCTAAGCTGAATACTTCGCTGCAGTACAGCCAGGTGATGCCTTGCCTGTAGGGTTGATTAGACTTTATGCCTCACTCATAGACTACCGAGACTAGTAAAAGGAGCCTCACCAGGTGGCGCAGTAGATCAAGCCATAGAGATACACGCAAACCATGGCGATGTACCCCCATGCATTGCGGTCGGTATTACCAGCAGCCGCCTGGCCCGCAGGGTCCGCAAGAAACGTGAAGCCACCAATGTACCACATTGGAAGGGATCCGACGAAGGCACCCCAGATGAGACCATTGCGCCGACCGACCTTTTCGGCGAGCCAGATGGTGAAGATGACCATGCCGAGGGTCTTGGCTATACCGTAGAAGCCCGTCGCGAAAAGCTTGGTGCTCGTGCCTGTAATGCCAAGAGTCTCAAAGATACGAGGCGAGTCTATTTTTTCATGTTATTGGAAGAGAACCTAGATCATAAGAACGTTTTCTTTTACTCACAGTATGTGATGATATTGACCCCTGTCAGATTCTGGCAGGCCATCAGAAGCAGACCGATGCCAATACGGTTGCGAGAGCCCTTCTCAAACAAGCGCTTGAACATTTGAGACTTTGACATACGATTCGCGCTGCCGTCTTCTACTTGGCGCTTGATATCACTGATCTCGGTGCTGACATAGTCATGGTCTGCTGGCAGCTCGCGGATATGAACCAAGACTCTCGTGGCATCTTCCCATCTATCGTTCTTTGCCAGCCACCTCGGCGACTCAGGACACACGAAAATGCCAAAGAACAAAAGCACACCCGGAAGCAACTGCAAGCCGAGGGGTACAATCCACTGCGTTTGTGTCGAGTCTGAGATTGTGCGGTCCACCGCGTAGTTTACCCAGAAGCCGCACATCCCTCCTCCCTGTGATGCAATTTCAAAAAGCCCAACGAGGCGGCCGCGAATGGACGGCGGACTGATTTCCGAAATGTACACAGGGACAATGAGGGATGTAGCACCGATGCCCAAGCCAGCGATGGCTCTTCCGGCAATCAGGAGCCCAATCTCTCCGTGGGATGCTGTCATGAGAGTCCCGCCAACCAGGAAGACGAGAGCAGAGATCATGATTGCTCTCTTGCGGCCGAGCCACTCTGCCAAGGGGAACATGAGCAGGGCGCCGAAGAAGCATCCTGCCTGAAACGTGGAGACGATGTTGCCTTGGAGAGTATCACGGACAGTTGGCGAGCTATCTGCAAGGTCGAAATCCCGGCGGAATGAGTCCAGAGCCATGGTGCCACCTATGACAGAGGTGTCGTAACCCACTGGGCTGTGTTAGTCTAGGTGCCGTCTCTGGTGAGCTTGGGGGCGAAGTGAAACTTACTGGCGATAGCACTCATTGAGGCAATGACCGCTATCATGTGAATGCGCCAATTGCGGACTTCACTGGGATCGTTCGTCCCATCGGCGTGGAGGTTGAACCCCATCTTGCTCAGTGCTCAGTGCTCAGCCTCGTGGCGAGAACGAGTATGACCTCAGGATCAGCCTTGGATTACCAATTTCTTGGCAGGTTAAACGAAATGATGGGAAGCGCCGTCTCTGTTGGCACCGCAGTGACAGGAAAGCTTGATGACAATCGAACGTAAGCTACGCGAGGACTCGCAAATGGAACGGGCAATGACACCAGCCACGATACCCAAAAAACTGGATAGCCAGGCAGATTCGTCGATTGACATGCGCAAAGGCGATAATGTCTCCTTTATGGATGAGATACGACATGGCAGCATGTTTGCCTGCATGGCATCGTTACGTTGTAGGACTTGACAGATCAACGCGACGCTAGTTCATCTCACTGAACAGCACTGTAGACTGGCGGAAAACCCCATGCTGATGATAGATGGTTTCCTGACCTGGATGCTTCAAGCGATACACCCTTTCGAGATCAGGTGGACAAGTCGGATGCAATTGAGTCGAAGCTAGACCGTATTGTTCAGGGGATCATGGCCAAGATTCTCTGGCTAGACGACAAGCTTCCCCGCGTTCCCCGCGTTAGGTATGCAGCGACCGGGATGGTGAACTTGACATTCTTCCGCAACCACGGTAGTTGATGCTTGAAAAATTGCAGATATCGGGATGCTGAGAGACACACCATACGTTAGACAGAAAGGGAAAGCGCTCGAGGTGGCGCTAGATGATTTTAGTTCGGGAAAATGCTCGAGTCAAGGCGTTCGTTGAGCGCTGGGGCCATTGGTGTAATGCTGGCCAAGAGTTTTGGACTGGGCCAAACGCTCTTGGACTTGAGAGGTTGTGTATGAGACCAGGATGGAAATTGAAGCTTCCAGGTTGCTCTGCTGTGATGTGGTGCCAGCCATGTGGTGTGCATCGATGCAGGTTGCAGAATGACAAGTTGGATCAGACGGTGGAGACCTGGAGACTTCCATGGACATATAGCGGGATGTATCGAACATGTTGTGAGTTCATTGGTCAACCAGCCCAGCGGATTCCCGGAGATGTTCCAGAACTTTGAAAATCCATAAAGGAAAGAGCGAGCAAGAGCAGTTGCCACCAGCTGCACGGGAAGGCAGGTGCGTGCCATCCTTGCCTGCAGCTGCTTACCTGATATGGACCAATGTGGACCACCTCCTTCGGCTTGAGCTAAGCGAACCAATGGAACCCTTGGAGCGTGCCTGCCACAGCCACTCTTGGCGCTGACTAGCGCGGTCCCCCACGACCCCCGGGGACTCCACTCCGAGCTTGATTCGACTGTGACTGTGCATCGCGACCGCCCTTTTTTTGTTTTTTTTTTTCTCATTTCTTGGCTCCTCTTTTTGTCTTTTCGACATTGTCTACACATTTTTTTTGTTCACTCCGTGCCGTGACTCCTCCTTTTTCTCATCTCACAAACTTTGTTTTCCTCAATCAATTTCCTCCCGTTCCTCTTCTCCACACTGTTGCTCCGGTCCTCTCCTAAACCTTCCCCATGTTCATTCTTTACATCACCACTCCGCATGGATTCAGCCAAGAGCTTATCATCGCTAGCTCATTGTTGCTGCCCGTCGACTGATTCGTCTCGAGCTTCACGTCTCAATTCTCCCGCAATGCCT